GCCAGCCTGCCTGGCTGTGGAGTGTCAGGAATCAGAACGAGGATATAGAAATGCATATATTCAAAGGATATAATTCATTCAAACTATAAAAAATAAATTATGTTTTAATAATTTCAGGTTATGAACCTACCACAGAACTTTCACTGTAAATATTCTGGGTTTTTTAAAATTGTAACTAAATTTCTTTTCATTATTTGAGGATTTCTTTGCAAAATAAGAAAACAGCTGATACAGAAATCTATAAAATAAGTATACAGGAAGATTTTTCTTCCATTCTAGTGCAATTTATAATAATCACTGAAGTGTAATTTTAGCAAACAACATAAAGATGTCTAATGATATTTCTCCTTCAATTTAATAGTCTACAAAAATAATTAAATTGAGATGAAGCAGTAATTGAAAACATGCTGTGGCAGTGAAACACATTCGAAGCACCAAGACAGATTGAAGTTATCTGACCAATACCGATTTGAGGGAAAAGGCAATAGCATTTTTAAAATGTATCCCTGGGAACAGACATCTAATAACATTTTCTCTTCAACTCTGTTCTTGGAATGCATGTACTCTGTGTGTACTTTGTACTTGGTGAAATGTATAGTTTATCTCTAGGAAAAGAGAGAGAATAATGTGTGCTCTTGGTTTGTCAGCTATTCTGTGTATAAATGGTTAAATCAAAAGCCTTTTCTGGAGTTGCTGTTCATGCTGTTCTCCCCTCTCCTCCCAGCAATTTTGGCAAAACCACATATCACACTCGATCATTCAAAGATAAGTTCTTGTATTTTCATTTATTATAACGTAAGAAATGAGGTTAGCATTCTTTCCGTGGCAGGCGCGTGTTGCCTTCCACCTTTCCTGTAAGCCATAGCTGCCTTACAGCGGTTCCTCACCTTCTGCCCTTTTCCTCTTGACCTACATTCTCCACCTACTTCACATCCCTGTTCTTTAACACTCATTGAGTGTGGGTCAATTTTGTTTGTGCTATTAGCTATGATGCCTTTTTTTTTTTCCTCTTTTCCTTTTTTTTTTCCCCTCAGCAAAACAAACCTCAACCCCTGTGTTTAATTTTGCTTTTTGAATTGCACCAGTGTTCTGTGAAGTAGAAAAAGGAGAAGGTCATTGCAGAGTCAGATTCTTCTCTCCTGTTGGTGTAAGACAAATACATTCAGTGATATTACAGCAGAACATGTGAAGTAGAAGTGGAAGTCGGCTATTCTAAAGCTGGGAAGTTTGAAGAGAGAAGCTGATTGCCCATAGCATTATGTTGAAGGTATTTTTGTTTGAACAGTGGGGGAGGGAAGGGTAAGTTAGTTTATTCTATGGGGTTTTTTTTTTTTAGACTAGATTGAAACTTTGCTAAAGAATGCTGTATTTTCTCCTTTTAAGAATTTATTGGCAATTAGTAACTAAAACACTTTATTCAGAGGAAACAAACATATGTCTAAAATATTTAACTACCAAAGAATTTTGATGACTGGTATGTACATTGATGTTGAACAAGAGCTGTTATATGCATTGCAATATGATATATGTAACAGTTAGCAGAGCAGAAATATTATTGCTTGTGCCTAGGTAAATTCTATAGCTTTTTGTATGTATTGTTTCATTTAAAAAGAAAAATAAAAAGGTGGTGGGGAAGAGAATGCATTTAAGTATATGTGTGGCAGGGCATAGTGCCTGTCTGTGCAGTTCAGAGACATTCGTACCAAAAACCTCTCCATATAAATATAAAATAGATGCTAATATTGAACTCCACTTTTGGTGCATATGGATGAATAACAATTATGTATTATGTACATGTATGTATTTATGGATCAATGAAGTAAGAGTGGGGTATTGATCTAACATGTATCTGGATGCATACATTTTTAATCTAATATATTTAGGAATCTTTGAAGTGTTTCCTATTCCTGTGGCTCTAATGAGGTAAACAGAACTTCTGACGGTGTAGCAGTACCTTGTATTCCATAAAAATTGCTGTCAACTTGAAACTAGATATTGGTGACGTATTTGCATTTCTGTTTCACTGGTTTGTGATGTACAACTGTGTTAAGGTATGCTTGAATATTCTAATGGATGCTGGCACTGTACTCAGCTTTTTTGTATTTTTAGTGTGGGCTATTTTACAGTGTAAAATTGAATAGAAATGCATTTGAAGTTAAAAGACAACATAGTTAGATACCAGCTAATGCTTTAGGAATAGAGAACGTGTGGAAACTGGTGGTGGTTGCCTGTGTTTCTGAGACATACTTGCTGGAATTGATATTTTTATAGTCCTGTACAGTTCTGCTTGCCTTAGGCTGAGTGGTGTGAAATGTAATTGAACTAATGACTCACTGTGGTGAGATCATTTTGAAGAATGTAGTGGGCTTCTTATTGTACTAAACCATGGCACATATTTGCCCTTTTTTCTCCAGTGATGCAGCCTATTTTTGCATTCTGTTTTAGTCTGTCTGTCAAGCACCCACGGCACACCTTCATATCCCTCCTAAAATCCTCTCCTGTATCTGTAGGATATACAGTGTTCTTTCGCTAGTTGCTCTATTTTGTCTTGTTTGTATTAAATCTGTCGTCTTTATGGTACAGATCATGTATGATCCTGTTTTACAATTACTCCTGCGTGTATATAGGATTGCACATATTCTTGCTTGTGCTCCCTGCTCTATGCAAGATTTTCTTCAAAGTGTGCTATAACATGGTATGAGTCCTTTTTTTTCTTAATTTAGTGAAAGATGAAGAGTAGTAAATGTAGAAATGAACTTGCTTATATTCTTAAAGGCAATCAATGTCTGTGATCGACATAGCCTTTAAAACCTGACTAAATCTCTCTGAGTAATTCCTAGGCTGCATTTTCTCTTTTTTATGAAGTACTGTTTCATTGAATCTGACTTTCTAATGAATGAGCTTTTAACACCGAATGTGTAGTTCCTGAGGATTTATTTAATTTTAAAAAGCAAAGTCATATTGTGAAGAAACCTTTTAAGTCTGGAAGTATTTCTTAAATGCTTATTTCAACTAAGGACGTGATGTAAGCTGCTTCATGTGTTGTGGTCATTATTCTTTCTCTTTATATTCTTTTAAAATAAATGAATAGTATTTTTAATTCACTTAAAAATGCTTTATTGGAAGATAATTAGTCAGTTAAATCATAGTATTCCATTAAACCTAGAGATCCCACTTTCTCCTCCTTCTAGTCTTCAGAATACAGAGAACAGCAAGGCAGAGAAAGGAAGAAGTGTTACCAAAAAATAATAGTTCCTACTTGGGCACATTTCTTTTCAAATAAAATGAAGCATGTAAATTCTTGTAGGAAACTAGGGAGAGCTTGGATGAAATCGTCACTGTAAGTGGGTTCAGTTGAATGCAGGTGTCATTGGGCTAGCTTTTAGAAAAAAGACAGTGAAATTATGTTTGAATATATGTTATGCAGTAATTTTAAATAATGAATTATTATCAATTAGATAATAAAACTTCTAGGTAGAATTTAGATGACGGTATGTGACTGGTCTTTGTGGAGTATGGTCCTGTAGTATTACTTTTTTGAGTCTTCTGTAAGCTAAGACATGAGCCTAAATAAACTAAAGTACATTGTAAGTACTGGTTTGGGGTTTTTTTAACCCCAAAACCAGTTTTGGTAATACACACATGTTTGATAATTTAATGATGTAATGGAAAATAGCTTTTTGCTCCCATAAATCCATACTTTTTTATACATACAATGCAGAAAAGTGCTTCAGAAATCCTATTTTTTTTTACATAAAACTTTAGTCAAACTAGCTTTCATACTCAAGGATACGCTCTGCTTTTTTCTTAAATAGAAGCCAATACTTATTGAGAATTAGCCTTTTTATTGTACTGGTAGCTGGTGACACACCGAGCAGTTTATATAACAAGACAAGTGAAATAATTCTAATTGATTTTGCAGCTTTATGTTTTGTTTTCCCTTTCCCCCAGTAACTGGTAACTAAGTCAATGAATGTAGCCACTATTCATTGAAATTACAAATTCTTCAAGCATGAGAATAGGGCAACTTAGCTTTTGTTTGGATGAATATCTTAGTTCTTGCTTACAGTGCTTTGGATGAGGATGATGTCTCAAGGCTTCTTGATTTTTTTAATGCAGGTATAAGATGAAATAGAAAAAGAGGATGTGGAATGATGGCCATCCAGGAAATACAGAAATAGGGTAGTTAGCAGCATTGATGATTGGTTTGTGGCAAAGCAGTTGTATAGCTGCAGCTGAACATCAGCCACGGAGAAGTGAAGTCAAAATAATACAAAAGTTACTGAGGGCAAGAAAATAATCTTCTTTCGCTGTGGCACTTGACAACCATATCTATCTATGTGGATAGATGATGGGAATGAAAAATCTCTGTATAAAAAGTCCCCATGTCACACTAGAGATATAGCTGAACCCCTTCAGTCTGAACATCTTAAGCCTTTGCACAGGAATGGCTTGGGTTGTTGGTTGTTATTTATCATCAAGCCAAATAACTTTATTGTCTGTGTTTTTTGTGTTTATTTAGCTTGTTTTTCCTCCATGTGCTCTGCACCCTTCCTGGGTAATTATTCAAAGTTGTATCTTTTTTATACAGAAACTGTGAATCTGAAATTGTGTACGCAAGACTTTTTTCTTTTATTAAAATACTGTCTGTTTTTGGACCAACATGATTCTTTCCTCCCTCCCATTAAAATTAACTGATTCTGAACCATTAATTGAAGGACATTACGTAAATGGCTTTGTCTACATGGGCATGGTAATTGCATGCTGGAGAAATTTGAAATAAGTATCTAGCTAAATATAAGGTCAAAGTGTGTCCAAGTTGTAGCTATATAGCATTCAGAATATCTCTGATGAATTCTGGTTTAAAATTAAATTTAAAAATACCTTATCATGCAAAATGTTGAATTTGTGCTTTAGAAAAGTATTCCCGAGTGGAATTTTTGTTTAAAAATTCTTTATATTTACAGAGAAACTGAGCCATACAAATATTTTTAAAAGTCTGCAGTTCTTTAAGGCTATTTATTTTCTAAAAAAAGAGGACTTAAATATTTTTGACAAATATACACATGAAGTTACGCTAACAAACGGCCATGCAACATATATCTTACATAATGAAGAAATTGAATATACAAGACCTACTCTATTTAACATATATTTTGAAAATTTACAGTCTCGCCAGTAGTTTAAAAAAGTTTTTCTTATTTGGCAGTATTTTTCTACAATTTGTTCAATTATTCCGCTTGATGTGTTTTGGTGAATACTGAAATCTAGTCAGTGACAACCTGAGGTACTAAACATTTCTGCCTTACTTCATTGTCTTCAAAGGTAATCTTTTTGTTCCTTTTAGGCTCTATCCATGAGTTGTGTATTACAGCGTTATTTGGCATGGGATCTGCTTCCACTATTGAAACAACTCGTTTTTTCATCTTACTTTTCAGAACTTTCTGAAACTTTTGCCTTGTGAATGCATAAAGTAGAGGGTGAAATATAGTTGTTCCGTATGCCATTACTAGAAAACATAATCGCAACTTTACCAAAAGGTCACTTGGGCCCAAACATAAGATGGTGGTGTTTAAAACGGAGATGGGTGTCCAGCAGAGAAGGAATGTTGAGATAATCAAGAGGGACATTCGGAAGACTCTCTTTTGCCGTTCTCGTCGCTCCCGGTGCCGTTTTACGGCTCGGCGCAGAGCAATTATGACAGACACAGAAGTCCTCACGCCAAAGACGACGTTTCTTCCTCCGCTGCTGTGGGACACATCCGTAGTCTCATGCTGAGTGGTCAAAGAAATGGTTTTTTTCTTTCTAGCTTTCTTCTTTTGTCCTGTTGTAAATCTTGTGCCAATCCGAATATTTAGAGCCTGGAGTATTTTGGTGTATGTAATTAGCATTACTACAACAGTGAAGAAAAAGATTGGAATCTGTACGAGAAGGTGGTAGTACATTCCTAGCTCGGTGTGGTACTCGTTTGTACTCACGCACAAAAGTGTCTTATTTTCCCAAGTACTCGCACTTCGAAGGCTGAAAAAGTTGACTTCGATGAAAGGAATCAGGAAGGAAAAAAGTGAAATGATCCATATAGACGTCATTAATATCACAGCCCTTCCCATGGTCAGAATTCGATTGGCAGGTTTTACGGAAATGTCGTAGCGGTCCAGAGTGATAGCAAAGACGTTGATTGCAGTTGAAACACTTGCAAAAGAGACACAAGCCTCGTGGAAGCAGCAGATGAGAGCAGTGTTACTCTCCAGTGAAAGCAGAAGGATAACTATAGTTAGAGGAATACATCCCACACAAATTATTACATCAAGTACATGAAGGTTCATTGTAATTATGTTACTGACAGAATTGATTAAGTTGGATTTCATACAGTAAAGTACCAGCACGGTGAGGTTGCTGCCAAGTCCCAAAACAATTTCTAACATCAAAAATCCAGTGAGGGAAACTTGAAAGCTTAATGGATATGACAGTGGTTGGTACATGTTGGTGTCGATGTCGTCAAGGGCATCTCGGACTGTGATGTTAGGTTCAGACTGCATGTTGACTTCCAGAGAGGGGGAGAAACACATTCTTTTGTTGCAGTTGGTTTTTCTCCTGAAAGGTGAAATAAAATACGGAACTATTTGATTTCTTTTTTTAAACACTTATTGTAGGTAAATGCTGTGGAAGGAGGAAAAGCAGCTATTCTTATCAAACTCTTGATTTTTACTGTATGTATAGAACTGTTAGTTGGCATGGACTCAAAAGTCTGAGGATCTAGAATAAGGTCTTTCCTTTTTAAAGGAAAGCAGGATTTGTTAAAAAAAAAAAAAAAGTGAAAAGCTTCCACTTAGGGACACAAGGCTTTATTTATAGTGATGTGGCTTTTACAAAGGGCCCATTTGTTGAATAAACTATACTTGTGCATTGCCTTTGTATTGTGTTTAGGGTCATTTTAGAAGAATGTTGTTAAGTATTGACAAATTAGTACTCAAGATCATTTAAAAAAGGCTCTTGTGGAAAAAGAAAGTGATAGGAACATGGAGCACTGTCGCTTATGTATCATAAAAAGAACATTTATTTATGGCAATTTAGCAGGCTCTTTCTTATGAAAAGTTTACAAGGGTGTTGCAGGCTGAAACTGAAGTTCTGTAATCCAGCAGATTTTTACAGAGCTTGAGGACTTCTGTTCACTTTTATCTTGTATGCATCTACATGAATGGAATTTACCACTACAGCAATTTTACATAAGTGTATATTATTTCAAGTGCAAAACTTAAGTGGGTTCGGGGGAATGGAGTTTATTATAAAAATGCTACATTTTCTTTTTCTAATTTGGTCGTTCAATTTCTTCAAGAAACCAATGCCTAGATGAAATGGAAGAGTAGTTAATTATATTTCAGAATAGATTTAAGGCAATAATTTTAGAAAATAATAATTAAAAAGAAAATTGTTTCTTTCAGGATTTTTTTTTACTTACACAAACTGTAATTAAATCCAACAGATTTATATACATAGCATGTTTGCTTTAGTAGTAAGTGAGGCTCTAAAAGGTAGCATTTATTACATCTGGGAGATTTTTTATTTTGTGGCTCATCTGCTTTGTTTTACACATGCTGATAGGTTGTAAGTGTAGCATCTGCATGTAATACCTGATGTTTGTATTACTTATATTGTCTGTCAGCTCTTGAGTTTGTAATGAAATGAATAAATACAGGAGAGGTTATTCAATTTCTTGTTATGATACTTGAGGGTCTGAGGGTTTTTTTAGGTAGCTCTGACTTTAAGAGGGGTTGTACATTGGCATGAAAATAAATTTAAATGTAGACCTTTGTTCCATTCTGAATGCATTAGAAATTAATAGTACTAAGGTGAACAAAAATGAGCTCTTCTAAAATGAAAGTATGAATTAAGCACACTTGGGATACAATATGCAAATGGTTTCATTTGCAGTTCTGAAAAGCCTCAATTGCACAATACTATTAATCGCAAATTGTATGATGAAAAGTCTTGCTATGCTTCAACAGTTATTTCACGTGTACCTTTTAAATACAAAAGATGAAAATTAGAACATATTATTCTCAGGTGTGAAATGAAAGAGGAAATATTTCAAAAGCTTTGTTTAATTTCTAATTTAGGCAATCTCTATTAGGTTTATATTAACTCTCAGGAATACGATTTCCTCTGTGTACGCTGTCCTGACTGTGAGTGGATGTCAGGAAACCATTCCGAATGCATTACTGGATAAATGGAGTTCTTTTGTATTAGCAAAAGCCAGGAGGAAATCAAAAGCAGGTCTGCTGAAACAAATGACAATCTTAACTCTAACATTATGCCAACTGAAATTCTGTGAAAACAGAAAACTTCAGATGTGCTAAGTCTTACAAATAGATTAAACATCACCTCCTTGTTGCATTGATTAGGTTTCAGTTACAGAAAAGCAGAAATGTGAAGGCAGGGAGCTGATTTACCCAGTGCATCGCTTTCTGGATGGTGCCTGTTCCCTTGCAAATGCTGAGCAGAGGTGGGGTGCATGCAGGTGCTGACCTACCTGGTCTGTGTGCCTCAAGGGCCTGTCAGATCCCTGCAGCAGCTTGTCATAAAGTGATACATGGTGTCTCTGACAGGTATTTGACATGCACTGTAACCTGGAAACCAAGTGGCAGCTGGGCTCTTATTTCATTCCTTGCAGGTTTTTTTTTTCTTTTTTTTGTTCCAGCACTTCAGCAGCAAAAAGTTCTGATTAAACATGGGGACTTCTTAATTGCCTGAGATACTTCTACGGACCAGTGCATACTCTGTGTGTCTGTTCTGAGTTTCAAGCCAGCAGTAACAAATAAACCTTCTTCTCAGTGATGTTAATTTCTTTCCCCTGTTGCATTTTGTAGCAGCCTGTTTTTATTTCCGAGATTTAAAAAACCAATAATTCTGATCTCTGTGTTGTATGTAGACATCCTTTAGTTTATGGTTGCGTATTTCTTTCTGTAATATTCCTGCTCATTACTTTTGAGTGATGGCTTAGTCAAAGAAGTTGCTATACATCATAAAATCCAGTTCATGTGCTTTGAGAGTAACCATGAGTTACCTAATTTGGTTTATTTTTGTTTAAGGAGAATACATAACAGACCATAAAATTGAGAGAAAAATATCCATTAGTCATTATGACAAATAAGTTATTTAATGAGTAGTATAGAAAAAGCTTGGTTAAACCCTTATTCAGCTTGCAGGTGAAGTATGCATATTCTCCTTTTGGGAATTCATGTTTCATTGTCTCTTCATGCATCAGTAGTTTCCACAATTCTGTTTTTAAATTATAAATCCCTTTTTAAGAAATGCTCAGCATTTTAAGCATCAGTCATTGCACTCTTCTTTTAATGAAAATCTGAGCAGATGTGTTAGTCTTCCGTGTAAATTGTTGAAGTGTCGTGCACGTAAATGGTAATACAAGTGTGTTCCATGTTTTGTTTCTAATTCCTTTATGTCTTAAGAATACATTTTAGTGATGCATCCTGCTGCTTGTAGGTCATACAGCTAGAAAGATACTCGGTCAACTGCATTCTTCATATTGTCAGTTGTAAAACTGAATTAGTTGCTGCGTGCCCTTGTGAAGGGGAGGAAAACAAAGGTTAAAAGTAGGGCTCATAATTTCAAAATAAAGTAATGCAAGAATATATTTGCTAATATTACTTCTTTCATGAATAAAAGATCTCTAACATTGGATCTTATAGAATACATAGAAAATCAGTTAGTGTGTTCACCGTTTGCTAGGAAAATCATGTCATTCTGTCAAGTTACAGGAATTTAGTTTTTTGGACAAGTTTCTTGTTCTCCAAATTGTGAAGGTTACAAAAATCCCCGACTGGAAGCAATAACTGTTGGATGTAGAATGTCTGTGACTACAACTAGAAAATGTAGTTTTATAGCTCTTGTGAGCAGGTAGTTTATATGTACAACTCTCCTGCCTTCTAATGAGAATTTGAGCAGAGTCTGAGCTTTATAGGAAATACAGTTTTGTTTAATTTGCACACTGTTATAATTTCCTTTCTTGAAATAAATGTTTAGCAAGGCTGTGTTTTTAATAAACGGCTTGAATGTACAGGGTAATGAAAGAAATAAGTTTAAAAAAAAACAACAACAAAAAAGGGGGATTTCTTTAGCAATCAGAGATAAGTCATATTAGCCAACCTTCATCAAGCAATAAGTATATACCAATTACAGACTATCTGATCTTTCAAAGAGTAACTGAATAAATCTGTAACATATTTAGCTGCCAATATTTGAAAATACTGCTCAGGGAGGAAAAAATATTCCTGGTTGCATTTTTTGAGTCCTCCCCCCCCCCAAATTAGCTTAAACTGTACTGTCTTTATGTTGTAGGAACATAACAGGTTATTAATATTCTACAAGTCTAATACAAAATAACATTTTTTTACCGTCGTGTTTTTAATGGGGAGGGGGAAGTAGCATTTGAGTATTTCCTCATCTCAAATATAACAAGATACTAGCACTTAATGTAAGTTGAATCTGATATCTTCCCTTTTTTTCTGCAATATTTTTTTGTTAAATGTTGCTTATACTGCATACCATAATAAGGAACAGATCTTACCTCCACTAAAGATCTGATAAATTCTCGATGCAGGTGAAGCAGTTCCAGGTTGGAGGGATTCATTTTGTTCACTTGTGAGC